TCGGAAGGATTGTTCTGCCTGGTCTATAACGTGGCGCAACATGACAAATTTCAGCAGTATGTATTATACAAGTTACCATGTGATGATCAGTGAGATCGTCACTTTGCGGTATAATATCTATATCGGTTAGATTGGTTCCATATGATATAATTAAATCTAGTGTATGATTTAGACGATGAGTGGGACCACTGACGTTTTGCTTGACCCCAAAGGAGTTTAATAAATCTGTAAACGCAGTCCCTAACGCATCATTTGTGTTATCTACGTGTATGTTAAAATCTCCAACAATTATTGCTTTATCGGCATTGACCAATAGATCTGAGAGAAAGTCTGCAAACTCTTTTAGGAATTCAGCATATGGTCCTGGAGGTCTATATACGGTCGCCAAGGATAGAGATAACAGGGATTTCTTTCTTACATCTAAGAGCGTAACATTTAGCACAAGTACTTCAAACGAATTAAACCTGTGACCTGTTTCCTGAGTAACATTAAGAATATCTCTATAGATTGTTGCAACCCTGCTGGAAAAACCAGCATAGACCAGCTACCAGCAAGACCAGCATATGTTGTGTTTTGGTGCTGGTGTGCTGGTGACCAGCATGGGATGCTGGTATGCTGGTGCTGGTGACCAGCATGGGATGCTGGTATGCTGGTGACCAGCATGGGATGCTGGTATGCTGGTGCTGGTGACCAGCATGGGATGCTGGTATGCTGGTGACCAGCATGGGATGCTGGTATGCTGGTGACCAGCATGGGATGCTGGTATGCTGGTGCTGGTGACCAGCATGGGATGCTGGTATGCTGGTGACCAGCATGGGATGCTGGTATGCTGGTGACCAGCATGGGATGCTGGTATGCTGGTGACCAGCATGGGATGCTGGTATGCTGGTGACCAGCATGGGATGCTGGTATGCAAGCTGTATGCATCCCATTAAATGCATCCCATGCTGGTCACACCAGCACCAACATTGGATGCTGGTTATAAACATTGGAAACTATGCAGGTCAACAGTAATAGACCAGGATGGTAGCCTGTTCACCAGGATGGAATGCTGGACAGCTACATTGAATTTTGGTATGATGAAAATCATGAAAATACAAGCTTAAATTAATACATGTAACAAGTTCATTTAATAATAACAAGTAAACATTAACAATAATAACAATTATTTAACAAAAAACAACACTCAGGACGACAGAACAAATCAACATAAACAAAGAACATACACATCAACATTTAGTAATTTACCTGAAAAAGTAGGATCAATACAGTAATGATGACAGAACAGAACGATATAAACAGAGCATACACATCAACATGCACTAATCTATCTGAAAAGGTAGGGAACTGTTAGCAGGTTATTGTTGACAAGGACAAATGTGTAGTACAAATCACAAAGCAGTCGACTCATTTTTGTCTCAAATGGAACCACATAGTCACATTTAAATTTTTTTTTTAGTCTATTAATGTCCATTATTTTTTCTGTAATGAACCGTCCGGCCTTTATCCATCTGGCCTGCGACTCTGTCTCCTCCACATTCTTTTTGTCAAGCCACTCCTTGAAGCAGACTGAAAAGAAATGAACAGATAAATAGTGATGCTTGTGTCGCACCAGAACAAATAAAAATGTATTACTCCATAACCCAGTACTTGGCATCCCACAAAGACCTTGTGGCTACTGCTACCTTTTAATGTCTGAAGTTTCTGGGGGGTTAAGGGCTGCCTGGTGGTTTTGGTTGTGGGGCATTCCTTCCCTGTGAGACTTTTTTCCCCTAGAGTCTTAGTGCCCCAGATTGCCACTGCCAACTCCTTCACAAATAAGGAATCCCGAGTACTGTTTTGGATCCTTGACCAGGCCTCTCTACGCACTCGAACGTCTCCCCCCAAGTGAATCTGACAAAATTAAAAACAAAAATAATCAAGGTACTAGATTGTACATATGCATACAAAATTCATAAAAACTTTAAGTGTACTGGTTCTTATATTAATCCATGCACACAGATGACAAGGGCAATGCTGTACCTCATCTCCTTTTGAAGATAGAGAGGGTTCCACCTCATTCAAACAGCCAGACTCTGCAACTATATACAAAATAATGTAAATATACATATTTACCCACTTGCATCAGGGCCTATACTTTGGTAAATATGGACCAAGATAGATTTCAGATATCTGAGTAATATATTTTTTGCACTTACTTTGTAAGGTCTCCTTTAGGCTTGGTGGTCTAGGATCTTTGACAATTAGAAAGAGAACAAACATATCACAAATATGATAGATGATGGAAAACATGACAACAAAGAATATACTTTGTAAACCCTCAAAGATCACAGCAGAAGCACTCCAATAAGACTCATAGTCTTGCCCAATCCAAAAGCAGTGTGCTGAAATTTGAATTTGCTATATGCACCACCCCCTCCCAAGAAGAGAAATCTTGGAGATCTCCTTAATAAACGGTCTGAAATCTCTGCCCCTTTACCGATCAGAGCGCACGCTGACACGGAGTAAAGCCTTGTTTATACTCGACGCGTCCGCACTAGCGCGAAGGTGCGTGCGGCAAAAATGATGGCATTGCGGTGTGGGCGGTCGAGCGCGTTGGGTGCGCAAGACCCCATTTCGCTTGGCGGTGTGCACTGCTTTTTTTGTAACAGCGCACGATGTGCATTCCGAGGATGAACGACTTCAAGCCGAATCTGCCGAGCATGTACGTCTCACCACACCAGTTTCCGCGGCTAAATTGCAAAGTTCATTGCAAAGTTTTTTTTTTTGTTAAGGTTTAGTTTACTGTGTGTGATTTATTTAAAACAAAGCACGTTCATTGCAAAGTTTTTTTTTTTGGTTAAGGATTTGTTTCCTGTGTGTGGCCCAGGAGGACCTATAAGGGTCTTCCCTAAGGGCCCCGGTCCTTGAACGAGATTCTCTGTCACTCAATCATCTGAAGGGTTTCTCGGTCAGTACAGTAACAACAAATAGCGCTGTTTTCATTTGTTTCAGACTATTTCTATTATTATTTTTATTAGACTATTATTTCTAGACTTATTTTACATTTGATAATTCAATTTATGTACCTAAGTTAGATTTTCCTAAAAAACATAATGCGCAGCTTATTTCAATTGTATTTTTCTTCTATTGTATTTATCTATGCTTGTAATTTGTTTATAATTTTCTATGCAGATTCACTTTTGAATAGATTTCACTCCCCAATTATTCTATGATTATTTTCAAATAGACCTAAATAATCTGATGAAATTGTTTTTATATTGCAATATATATATATATAGCAGAAAAAACAAAATATGTATTTAAGTTTTTCAATATCGTGCAGCCCTAATATTGAGCATATCTTAAATTGAACCTGGATTGATAATTTATGATACCAGATGAGATGTATATATAATAGATTTTGAACTGTACTATTTTTGTATTGCAGGTTATAATAAAGACATTTAATTATACATTTTTTAAAGATCTTGTAAATAACTTTGCTTAATATTAACATTATTATTAGTAGTATATAAATGCTACAAAATTTTCATCATGAGCTATTGGCATGTAAATGAACATAATGAGAATAGAGAGTGAAAAAAACAGCTCTATCTAAAACTTTTCAATCAAGTCAAAGGAGTACCAGCTCCTGTTGAAAAGTTATAGTACACAGTACACACACATGAGAGGTACAGCCTCTCCCTACTCTTACAAAATTACAAACGACCAGCCTGAAAAACACGTTGTATGAAGAACCAATAACGTCCAAGCTTATCGATACTGCGGTCTTCCTTAATTTGGCCCCAGGGCCCGTTTAATACTGGGTTTCGATACCCATCCCTACATATGGGTGAGTTCATATGGATGAAAGCATGTTGTGTTCTGTCTCTTGGTTTGTGATAGTGGCAGCTACTGTGAAACTCACCTTCTTCATCTGAGTGTGGATGGCATCAAGAGCTTGTCCTGAAGAATCACAGGGCCAAACGCTAGGGATTATATCTCATCTGGTGACAAGAGCATAGCCATAACTTTAAGAACTCTAATGATATCTTTACCCCCTGATATTGCATTGGGGATATAAATTCAAACATTTTAAAGGCTAAGAGTATGAGACATGAGTAAGCTGGTCAGATATCTGTGAAAAATAACTTGTGAGCCTAAAGTTGTCGACCCCCTGAACCACATTCAGCATTTATAAGTAAAAGGAATTTCAGTATTTATCAATAAAAAATACATACAAATAAATAAATACCTTTGAGTTGGACAGTATGGTGTCTGTCTCTTTGGCCAACATAATTCAAAACAGATCTAGAGAAATAAAATATACCAATGACCATGATATCCTGTTATCATAATAGTTAAATGAATTATTATAACTACGACCATTATATTTGTCGCTTAGCCTAATATTTAGCTGATTATTTAGCCTACAGGCTTCTCAAGGATAATCTCATTGAAAAAACCTGGAGTTAATGATTTTAAAAAGTGAGATTTCTTTCAAAAGCATAAATCTTACAGACCCCAAACTTCTGAAAAGTAGTGCACTGTATGTTTGAGGTTTTGCTCATGGATAGCCGTGGAGATTGTCTTGGACAGGGAGTGCAGAAGGCCATCAGCATGATGATCTAGAACATAACATGCAATTTGTCACAGAGCCAACAATGTTACATAGGATTTACAATAGAATATAGGGTTTATTACAAGGAACCAAGCTAGAGCAGAGGTGAAATGCAGAAAAAAGAATATATATATATATATATATATATATATATATATATATATATATATATATATATATATATATATAATCTTAAGATAATAGATATTGTGAAATAAATGCATATGAAATTATTATGATGATTAAACAATAATGCAACCTTAGTGTAGATGTTTCACTTTCTTTTGATCAATATTTGTAAGTGACCTCACTGATTAACAGTACAGTGCATTCTATTAGGTTAAATAAATTAGCTTACTTCTAATCACCCATTGACAAATTACCAGCAAAACAAAACTATCAAAAACTGTTCTCTAACGTTACACAAAGATGTGGTTAACCCCAAACTTTCATAAACAAGAGCTCCAGTCTGTAGAGTTAGCCTTAACTTACATCTTCTGGAAACGGTTGAGATGCTAACGGACTTTTTCGAAGACACAAAACCATTTCTATAAAGTAAATATTCAACAGAAGCGTATCAATTACACGTAAGAAATGTGTCAGGACCGTTTGTATGTATTTTTTGTGTGATTTTTTTTTACTAAACTTACCTGAAAGCAGTGAAAACAACAGCGAGAGACGCTAGTTTTGCTGTTTGTCAGTTGATGACGTTTCCTCGTTCCCATGTCATCTGCTCTCGCGCGCGCTCCAGGCTTTCAATACGACTCGAATGTGTCCGCGCACGCGCATTAAAACACTTCAATGGCACGCAGCATATAAATAAACATCTAGAATTAAAACATATAAAATAATTTAAAATATCCTTAATATTAAATCATGAATTTAGTTTAAGAATTTGACACCTCTTTATTTTATTTGAAAACGTGCTTGCAATATTTTCATATTATCCTTTATATATAAAATAAAGATGTCCTGAAAGTGCTTTAAGTTGTAAATATGAAAATAGTATTGATTATATAATAAAAAATATAAAGTAGCTTTAGAAATGGTAAACAGTGTAAAAATAAAAGTAGCCTACATTGCAAAAACTCACTTGATTAAAACCTTTACATTATCATGTATTTTCATGAATATATTTTCACATAGGTTTAAAAAAAACTGAGCTGAGAACTAACTGGTGAATAGTTTTTTTTTTTTTTTTTTTTTTTTGACCCTTTAAGAATTTTCTGTTCCTGTTCAGAAGAGCAGGAAAAAAGTGAAGCATGGAGTGCTATTTGAATGTATTTATTTGTTGCTGCTGAAAAAAAAAAAAAAAAATACACACTCATTATGCAACATCTGTCTAGCACGTTATGTGTTGCTTCTCAATGTTTTTTTTTTTTATTTTATTTTTTGTTTTTTTACTTTTATTTTATTTAAAACAAATTACTTAGTAATTAAGTATAGGTTCCCTTAAGCTTAAGGTTGTTACAAAAAAATCTGTTTGACCAGGATCACCAGCAAGATCATGCTGGTAGACCAGCATCATTAATGAGACCTTGCTGGTTGACCAGCATCACCAGCAAGACCATGCTGGTAGACCAGCATCATTAATGAGACCTTGCTGGTTGGCCAGCATCACCAGCAAGACCATGCTGGTAGACCAGCATCATTAATGAGACCTTGCTGGTTGGCCAGCATCACCATGCTGTTTGACCAGCATCACCAGCAAGACCATGCTGGTAGACCAGCATCATTAATGAGACCTTGCTGGTTGACCAGCATCACCAGCAAGACCATGCTGGTAGACCAGCATCATTAATGAGACCTTGCTGGTTGGCCAGCATCACCAGCAAGACCATGCTGGTAGACCAGCATCATTAATGAGACCTTGCTGGTTGGCCAGCATCACCATGCTGTTTGACCAGCATCACCAGCAAGACCATGCTGGTCCACCAGCTAAACCAGCACCAAACCAGCATAGACCAGCATAAACCAGCATAAACCAGCATGGAAATTATGCTGGTCTATGCTGGTTTTTTCAGCAGGGAACACCGCCGCCACGACCGATCAGACGGGGCTCATGCTTATAACAGTAGGCTATCCTGGCGGAGTGGACTCATTTAGACCGAAATACTCGTTTGGTTTAAGCCAGGTTTCAGTAAGGCAAAGTACATCGAAGCTATTATCTGTCACCATTTCATTTACAATAACCGCCTTAGGTGTGAGCCAGGGACGGACTGGGGCTAAAAAACAGCCCTGGACTTTCTCCCAAATAGGCCCATCATCCAGCCATTCGCCCCTAGCCACTAGGATGTCCTGATACTATGCCACAATACTGTAACCTATATCAGACAAGGTATTCACAGCAAGTAATATCTCAAAAACAATGATGACAATTGGGGTTTTGTTTATTAATGAAGCCTCAGTCTTCAAATAAAAACAAAAAAATGTACAATGCCATTACATCTGCATTGAAAATAAAATAAAAATAATGAAATGTCACTGGCTACAGAAACCCTAATTACACAAACTTGTAATTATAAAACATTTAGTTACTATATACCAGGGGTCTCCAACCTTTTTGTGTGTGTGGGCTACCTCAAGGGATAAAATAATCTAGAAGGGCTATACTCAAAAATATTTATTATACATATAACATGGTGGTGTTTTTTTACCTTACCTTTACCTTTACTTTTAACTTTAACTTTTTTATTTTTCACCATCACATGCGAAATAATATAATTTCTTGATATTCTGGTTCAACAATTGGTGAAAAATTTGTAATATATATATAAATATATATTATTCTCTAAAAACCTATTAGCATAAACATTTAGTATAAATATTTAATGCAAAATAAATAAACTGCCATAACTTCTAAACAAAAACATTACTGCATTACATTTAATAGCCTACATTTATAGGCCTACATGACTATTAATATAACAGCATTTTTAATATGAATACAGGCACATTTCTGCCAAAAAAGTTTGTTTTACTAAGTTACAGTTAATTCATAAGTTGTGGAGTGAAATGTCTTCTAACTGGTTTGTTCTTGGAACAATGTTTCACCTGTTTTTTTGCGTCAAGATGTTGAGAATATCAGCGCCGTTTAATCTGGCTTTTAACTAGCTTAAATCACAGCCATCTGTGGGTTTATAATAGAGATAGAGAATTCTGCGCTGAATTGAAATGCTTCTCAGTGGATCGCGCAACTGTGTAATAATGTTCGCGTGATCGAGATCAGTCCGCACAGCTGCTTCGGCCGCGATCGCAGTTTTTTTGGGCCGAGCTGATAATGCTCCGCGCTGGCATCCAACTTAAAGGTGCATTGCTGCCACCTACAGTACTGGAGTGTGAAACAGATTAGTGGGGGGGAAAAACAGGTGATGACTGCGTGTGTGGCGGGTGGTGGGCCGGCCCGCCGGCCGTCCTGGAGTAGCGGCCGTTCTGTGATACTCCAGATCACACAGATGGCCAGTCCGCCCCTGTGTGAGCGATCTAATGTTTAGAAGACCTAGTTTTAGAAATTGTTTTTGTTCACTGATATGAACAAATAAATTTTTTTCTTATTAAACGGTCTGTACACTTACAAAGTTCTCAATGCTTCGTTTTGCATGTAGGGACCCTCATTATGTTACTGTGTTAGTGTGGGGCAATTTTGAGTCTTGTTAGTGGTATAAACTAGCGATTTATTTTTACTTAATAGATGCCCCCATTACTAGCGTTATACGCTAAACTGTTTTTAGAGATAAAACTCTTTACATTCGATTATCATGAAAACAAATCTCAGAGAACGGTTGACTAGGTACCAATGTTTTATTAGACCAAAGGTTCATTTTGCGCCGGAGTTCTCCTTTAATGTGGACGGAGATCAATTCTAATACGCAGCTAAAACGCTGGTGTGGACGGAGATCGTATTCGTTTTAATTATCCGTTTCTAAACTAAAACGCAGTAGTGTGGATGGGGCCTTAGGATAATTTTGATTAACTTTTTTGATCCACTTCAAATGTTAACTACTGTATATAAAACTCATCAATATATAACCTAAAAAGATTTGCATATAAGGTAAAATTTTTGGAAGTGTGTACATAAGATTGTAAGCGTAAATTAAAGCTCCAGTCCGTAACTTTTTTAAGTTAAAAATAATCCAAAATAATTATATTAAAAAAAACTTATTCTGCCAGTGGTCAAAACTATCTGCTTGCCATAGCTAGATTCAAAACAGTTAGCTTGTAATAATGATTTTAATTCCAGTGGTACTGGTGGGTTTCCGCGGGAAATTCGAGCATGTCTTTGCGTCATTACGTCACACCCGTACACATAAAGAAGGAGTTTCGGCTAGCCGGCTATACTGCGCGTGACGAGATGTTTAGATGTATAGGCTTTTCTCGCAGCACTTTACATAATTAAACTTATGGCATCCAGAAAGATCCAAACAACAATCATCAGTGTCAACTGGAGATTCAGCAGTTATAAAACCCAAAAGACTTCGTACTTCGGATTTAAGGTGGCTAGAGAAAGAGAAAGAAACCGTTTCATGCAAACACAAGGATTTAAAAATTGGCGGGGCTTTTGAAAAGTGCGTGAAAAGTGGGTTCAAAACGGAAGAAGAGACGGCTTTTTTCTGCTGAACAAGTTAGTTAAGACATTTCAATAGTTCAATCGTGTAACAGTACGTTTTCTTAATTCACACAGTTATGGAGTTTCCTTTGTTGTGCCTTTCTCGTTTTGCTATTATGGAGAATATGAATTCGGAACTACACAGGTAACCATAAAACACATTACATTTAACATTAGTCACGCAATGCTGATGTGATGTTGTTAACATGAACAATTTGAGAACAAAGTAGGCTATAATTTGCACGGTTGCTGTAAATCGCGTTGATTAAATCTAACGAAGCTTATCATGTCGAATGCTTTTTCCCCCTTAGTTGGTCAGAACAAAAATGGATGTTACTTACTTGTTCAGAAGACATTTTCTTATGAAAATTCTTATGTTGGTCAAACTTTCAAAAAGTGAATCTGTGATTCTGTATGACAGTATCCACACAGCGCGGTGACTGACAGCAGCACTCGCCTCAAAGCACTGTGTTCATCCGCGCTGTTTCATGCCGATTTACAACCCACGTAAAGATGATAATTCCGCGAATCACTGCAGTTACAGATTTCGAACAGACAGATGGCGACAAAGAGGAAAAGCTACGGACTGCAGCTTTAAATTTGCATGCACAAGAAAATCTTTGTAAAGGTGTAAATTGCGTTTCAAGCTTAAGAAAACAAAGATTAAAAAAACATTTACTGCTTACGCTTTTTTTTGTGGCCCAAATATGGACAAAAGCATTGCCAGTCTGTGAAAAGCAATTTGCAAGTGAAAACAACAGTTTAGAGAACTACAAAACAGATTGAGAGTGTAAAA